CTGTTCTTCGGTCCTCATCAAGGTTCCACTTTTAACTTTACAAATTGTACACACTGAAAAAACCCTGACAAAGGCACACCATGGAGAAAACATTAACATCCAAATTAGCACTAAGGACTGGTTATACATTATCTGTATATGTAAAATATGTACAAGAGTGGGAGAGCAGGGTGAGGGCCCCCGACCCACTGATCCACCACTGTCGCCGCCGCCATCGCTGCTGCTGCTGCTACTGTCATTTGGTCCATCTCACTGACCAGGAGTGTTTTAAGTCATGAGGAAGTCCAGAGGATGTGTGAGCAGTCCAAAAACTCAACTTTTATTTCCAGAAGAATTCCCAAAAGTCTCGTTTTGACGTATGATGAGTAGCTTCAATATTAAGAAGAAGAATAAAAACAAAAACAAACCTAACCTTCCAGAAACTTCTCCATCCATCCAATGGCTAACACGAACCATTCCCAAGAAGCACGCTATTCCAAGTTGGATCATTTCTCCCCGATTTCCCGAACACAGAAGAACATCTTCTCCAGCTAAAGCAACACAGCTTGAAGTGGAGGAAACCTTAACAAAGTTGAGTGCAGCATGAGGCCTGGTACCCTGGAGGTGGAGCAGATCAGTGGTGCATTGTGGGACATCGCCTGCCGAGTGATCACACAATTTTCTTAATGCTGGGTCTCTTGAAGCTGCCGGAACTGCGCTGCTTCTGGACCTGACTGGCTGAACCGTGGCGAGTGCGCCCCCCGCTGGACAGTGCAGAGCTTGGGGACAGCTGAACGTTCTCCTTGTCCACACCTGGTGGGTCACAGTGAGGACATCATGAGTTCATATAAATCAGGTCACAGAAAACTGGACCTCATCAACCAATCACGGGTTAGGATTCCAAGTAAATGTGTGTGTGCGCGCGACCTGGCGTGTGCTGTGACGTGGCCAGCGATGTCATGGAGTTGGACAGGTTGAGGTTGGCAGTTATGCTCAGTTGGCTCTGACTGGTGGGTGGGTAAGGGGAGGTGGGCGTCCTCATCTGCTCCTCCCCTCGCTCCTCCTCAGCGGCTGGGAGGTAGCTGTCGATCAGCGCCTCCAGGAACTTAACGATCAGCTCGGCGTAGTCCGGTATCTGTGTTTGCTGAGGACGGAAGAGAAAAGTCAAGTCAAGGTGGACGACATCTGGGGGGTATTCACCAGCACGGCTCATAAATCAAAACATTAAACACTATTCACCAGCACGGCTCATAAATCAAAATGTTAAACGCCGAACCTGGTGAACCTCTGCATTTTAAAAGGAAAAAAAAAAATCTAACAAAGCGACATCATTCAAACGTTGTCCTTCATCCTTTCATAACTCAGGGTTTTTGCTGTTATTGTTTCCAGATGGACAACAGTCTTTCTGTTACCATTACTGTAACTATAAATTTCCTAAAGTCTGTCTCACACTTCATCATCATCCCTACCTTAGAGAACGGTCCAGCAAACCTCCAGAGTCCATTAAACCCAAAGGCTAAAAAAAAAATCAGAGAGGAAAATGATGGCGGTGAGTTCAGGCATCGTGTTTGTTTAAAAAAAAAAAAAAAAATTTCAACAAGCTAAAGTTGGAGTGTCTTACTCTGTAAGTAGGACGGCTGGTACTGAGGCGGGGACTCTTCGTGGTAGACAACACTCTGGACGATGCCGTGGACCGGGTTAAGGAGGTTGGTGTCTTGGCACATTGACAGCACTGTGTTGATCTTTGAGTCCAGCAGGTTGTGGCTGAAAAAGAAGCACAGAAACAAACGTCGAATCATGGGCTGCATCCAGGTCTTTCTACTCTTGACTTTATTCCTATTCTATTTTAAATCTGGATCAAGAAAGGAAGAACAAGAAACGAGAGTCTACTCACACGACAGGGAAAACCTTTGGAAAGACGACGCTAGCTTCGGCCAAGTACTCGTACAGAATCCTCTGGTCAAAGTCGTCAGTAGTGTATTTGACCTGTGTGGCCTGGAAAAAAAAAAGGTTCACTGACAGAATCTGCGATAACAAATGAAAAAATAAATAAAAGTGTTTCTCTTTTTCCTCACCAGCACAGTGAGCAGCAGAGCCTGGATCTTTGGATCAGTCAAAACCTCCTCGTCCAGCAGGACGTTGGACTCCGACACTGAGACCTTACGCAGGTGTGAGTTCCCCATTCTGGGCGTCTCTGGAACCAAGAAGGAAAACAAACATCACATTGAGCAGCGTAAACTCTCTCCACACAGACCTGGCAGGGCCGAGTTCTCACCGATCTCGTAGTCGTTTTCTGCGACGCGCCTCATCTTAGGAGGAGTGGTCATCCCCGACTCCATCTCTGGTCTCTTTGGTGCTTTGGAGTCCGATATGAGATGATCAAAACTCTTCCTGGTGCCTACAAATAAAAAGGAAAAACAATGACTTCACATTTCTAAACTGGAGCTGCAGTGATATTTCAATATTCTTTTTTTTCAGGAGTTTAAGGAAAAAATACCCAGAAGCTTCTTGGTGTTGGCCTGTGAGGGCTGACCCATGTCAAGACTCATGGACTTCCGTGTCCGTGGACTGATCTGGCCCACTGTGGGGTAGGGGTGGGCTGACAGGTAGCGGTCCGAAACCTGCGGTGAAGTCCAGGGCTGAGTCTCTCTCAGGGTTCTGTGTTAAAAGATTCAAAATTAAATTGTCTTTCAGAGCCCCTGCTGGTCAACAAGGTCACTGCAGCAAAAAGAGCCGGGACAAGATTGGAATGGGTCATTGATGGAAGTCTAAACAAACGGAGCTGTGCCCAGACAATGACGAGGGACCTACCTGCAGCTGGGGTCAGTAATGTGACTGGAGTAGGTTTCCATGGGAACCGGGTCCATGGACAGGTCAGAGATGAGAAGTGACTTCCTGTGTTTCAGACTGCAACGACTCCGCACCTCCTCAGACACGGTGAGCAGCGCTTCATGAGAAAACAA